ACGACCGCCGCCAGCCGCGCCGTTCATCGAGGTCCGCCTCGTGTTGGGCCCACGGAAGTCGCTTCGGCTCGTAGATGGGCTCCCGTTCGTTCCTGAGGGCAGTGGGCACGATGAGCTTCTCCTGCTGCCACCACGCCCGTCGCCACTACTACGGCCCTCAGAAGACCCAGGACCGTGAATCTCTTGTCTTCCTGGGCTGCATTGTCCTCGTCGATAGCTCGTCGACGGCGCTTCTCCCAGCGTTGCGGTGCGGGGTCTGTGGGATCCTGGCGCTTCCCGCGCTCAGCCATGGTGGTCGACTTGCCGTGGGAAGCTTTTTGGGGTGTTGTGGGTGCTGTCTAGGTGTGGTGTGATGAAGGCAGCACGCGTGACCGGTGTCTGCTTCGGCTGCCCGGAAAAAGCGGGGCGTTTTTCCTCGGAACCGTGAAAGGAGCAAGCCCCAAAAAATCCCAGCTCCCTCTTTTCACGTTTTCGGGGAAAAACGCCTCCATATGTGTTCAAGAAAAAACGGTTCCGTGAAATATTCCGTGTTTTTTCGGTCGATAAGATTCAGCCTTACTCGCTGTCGGCGGAAATTTATGCGGCTTTCAGTTGTGCGGTACGGATTGCCCATATGTCTGTGTCTTTGAATGTGGAATGAGCAATGTACGAGCAGCTGGCGCAAAGAGGGATTCATGAGATCCACCTACCATACATAGCACTTGTTGCTCGCTGCCATAGCCACAGTTGCACTCTCTATTACACACGTCGCATCGACTAACACCCACGTCGCAGTTCGGCATAATCTCACACAGGGGCGCAAGTTTAGCACGCCGCCTTCGTGGAGCGGGAATTTCATGCAGACGCCACGGTGATGTCGAATGTTTCCCGGACATTCACATTAGACTTTGGTATGCATACTGCGTTGCCGGGTGAGTGGCAAATATATACCACAGTAGAACGCGGTCATCGCAGCACAAAAATCTCGATCTCCCCATCACCCCGTTTTCTAGTCCTCCTTGGTGGCACTGCAATAGACTAGATCCGTCTGGGCATGAGATCGTTCGATATGCCAGTCGCGCCTACGTACAATAGCGCAATCAATCCTGCTCACACGGGCATATTCGTTCCTTGTGATTGGTCTACATTGCAAGGTAGGTTTTGAGACCACTCCAGGTACAAGTGCATGTAGAGACTTGGACGGTCAGAAGGGCATTTACTTTTTCTGTTAACAACACCTATCAATGCAACTTCTGGAAAGCTTCGGCCGGACGCAAAAAACTGGGAGCATAATAAGTAGTCTCCCGAAAATATTCGATCCACCATGTATGTTTGGAGCCAGCGGTTCTTGGAGACTTCGGCTCGTGAGGGGGGCACGTACTCCTGGATGGTGTGAGAACACGCACGCGGACTAAGTTCGTGGTGGGGTGTTGTGAGGTTTACAAATCCCTGAAGACCCTGATGATCGCTTGCTTATTTGTTAGTGTTAATGCCTGCTGTCTCGTTGTTCTTTGGAAACACTGAAGAGAAGGGCTGGCGGACCTCTCCTTGTTCTGAGGGTTCTCCAGGGCAATATCTATTCCATAACGATCCTAGGGAGTCACAGCTCCCGCCATAGAGTTCCCGCCATGATATTTTTATCTTGCCTAGAACTACCAGTCAGATCCTAGTGCTCAAATCCCATATCACTAACCCACTCTTGATGCTCGCACATGCAGATACATATGTGGAAACTGCAGGATATGACCAAGTCAACTCCAGAATTCGAAAATGAATCGAAGACGCGAAACTACACGACACAATCACCCTCCCACACCTCACATCAGATGGGCCAAAGACCATCCCCGTATAAACACAAATGTGAGAGAACGAACTACAAGGAGGTAAGGAAATCATCCGGGGGCAACCCCACAAGGAAAGGAATATAGTCTGTTGGTATGCCCTTGTTGTGTGACCTCCAGAGTCCAAAGAGTGTTGTTAACGGCATGTATTATCGTAGGGGG